TTGTGGGGCTGAGGCGGGTGGACATTCTATTTACGCAAGACTCTCCTTGGAACCCCTCTATTTCGACTTCCTTTAACCGCCACAGTTGGAGTATCATTTCTGAGCTACATAGAAGGGTAATTTTTATCCATCGGGGGAAAAGTGATTTTAAGTCTAAGAGTGTAATTTCCGGCCATCTAGAGGTGCCATAATCACAAATTTTCTTACCTCAGCCCCAACCACGGTGGGGCTGAGGTGGTATAGATTCTCCGTCTGTTGAAGTACTCAGTGGCGGATTCAATGGGACCCAGCCGCCCCGCCCCCAGCCTCCTAAATTGTTCAATAAAAAAGATGGAGATATAAAGATAATTATATTCAAATTTTATGTCTGGAAGTGCAATTTCCGGCCATCTAGAGGTGCTAGTAATCACAAATTTTCTTACCTCAGCCCCAACCATGGTGGGGCTGAGGTAGTCTGGAACTTCTATCTGTGAAAATATCCTCCCTGGGCCGTTTTAATTCGAATTCCTGGATCCGCCACTGGAAATTACAACAAATATGAAATCATATTTCAGTAGCTTGATGCCTATAAAATAATTTATAAAATTCACCAAACTTCGTAATATCCGTAGCTTCCAGGGGGAGGGGCCCTTGGCGGCCCCCTGGCCCCCAGCCTAAATGCTCGCTTCGCTCGCATACTCGACCTTATTAAATGTCCAATCCCCACTTTCAAAAACGTTCCGCCGCCGTTGCGCAAATGTTGTTTATAAACTCACCAATCGACCATATTTATTTTGGTCACGTGGATAACTTAACGCTGATTAACGCACTCTGTTTACGTTAATTTTCGTTGTCAACGAAGTCTATTTAACGAACCAGTCGAATGAAAATAATACTCAAAGAAAATTCGTACTCAACGAAATGAACCAGCCGAAAAAGCCCATTGTCTCATCACCTGTTTATATTTATTGTTATTTGATATTTCTTGATAACCATTTTCAATGTTAATTGTGAATCCCATTTGGCCGAGTTGATGAACAAAGAGAGGTTTATTTTAAAGATTAGCAGTTAGGCTACATTCGGATGAAATATATTGTTCATGATAGTTACCCTTAAAAAAAATTATGAAGACACATTAATGTAAGTTTGTACCATAATTATTTTGTTTCTTTGTAGGCCTATATATTTTGTATCGAGTCCAGCCTGTTATTCTACCTATGTTGGTCGAGGATTGAATATACATGTCGTTATCGTTATTCTTAAATTTTTATGAAAGATAATTTTTATTTCAAATAGGCCTATCAGAATATACACAGTATATTTAAATATAAAATACCTATAAGTTGAGATTGCGAAAAAATAAAGGAAACATAGGCCTAATTAAATACCGTAGGCCTATTTATTCGAATAAACGCCCCCGATTGTTGAGAGGGGTTTTTGCGGAGGCGTTTACTATTCGAGCAGTTAGGCTTATCAACAGATCACAAAAATGAACCATATAGGCCTTATATGTTTACATTCGCATAGAAGTGAAATGGACAATGGTGTAACAAATCTAAAAGGCCTGTATTTGAATTACACAACCACAGGGGTGGCAACCAGTGAGGAGGGGGAGGCGCCTGGGACCAGGGCCCCCTCGGAGAGAGCTGACCTCCGTCAGGGAGAAAAACAACCATTCGTGGGGGGAAAAACAAAATTATATGTATTTTCTACACATCAGCTGACTCTAAAATCGATTAAACAAGCCTTTGAAACCCCTTCAGTGGTTCCAAACCTGGGGTGCGCGGACCCCCTAGGGGTCCGCGAAAAATATTGTAGGCCTATTGCTCTTACCTAGATATTGAATAAATTTAACAATTCAGGACGGATTCATAAATTTGACAAAATTATAAGTAAATCGGGGAATGACAGAATATTACATTCAAATTTTGAGTATGACAGTGTCATTTCCGGCAACTACAAGTGCCATAAACTTAAAATTTCCTACCTCAGTACCAACCAGGGTAGGACTGAATCTGTAAAATTTACTGTTTGTACCCCTCCCCTTCTGTCTATGTCAAATTCCAAGATCCAAGATCCAAGTCGTAATTTGGCGAATCATCTTTTATCCATAATCTTATTGCCGGAATATCGTCCATGAGTCTCTCCAAATTTTACACATTAAAAATTAAATGGGGATGGGATAAAAGAAAATTACCTTCAATTTTTTTAGTCTGACAGTGCCATTTCCGGCCATCTAAAAGTGGCAGAGACAAAAAATGTTGTATCTCAGCCCCAACCATGGTGGGGCTGGGGGGTTTCTAATTCGAATTCCAGGATTCGCCACTGTTTAATGTTGTATTTTTGTGGCGAATCATCTTCTATCTGTAGGCCTAATCTTATTGTTAAGATGTGGACAATGAGTACGTACTATTTAAACAAGGGGGTCAGTGATTTTGGCATGTCCAGAGAGGTCCGCGAATGCAAAATAAGGTTTGGAACCACTGTCCTAAATTGTCAACATTTGAGCGACGCCCGACCACGCCCACTTTTCTCTCGTCTTGGACATCTACCCCCTCGTGTGGGACATCACCCAACCGACCTCGGACCCCCACGTCGGGCAAATGCTGGCGCCACCACTGCACAGCCAGACTCCATAATGGATGTGAAATTTAACATTCCACAGAACCACTGGGAGATGAGCTCCAATCCAAGAATATGAAAAACAAGAATTAAGGGTGTGGTTACCGGCTTTTGGAAATCCCACAAGCTTATGAATGCAACTGAAAATGCAAATCTCACACTACATGCCAGTATCGTCGGCTCCTGGGAGATAAAAGTTGTCCCGGTTCTGGAAGAGAAAAGGCGTGATATAAAAAGATGTCTGATCTTTAAATTACCCATTGATCAACAAAATATAATACATTTTTCTTGCTCCAATTAAAGACCACCTCAAATTTAAGACCAGTCTTCTGCAGCTCCAGTTGAATGCCTATCTTTTATCATTAGCTCCCTCTAATTTATAGAGGGAGATAAATAGTGATCTTAATGCAATTGTTTCTAAAATAAATGTTATTGTATGACTTAAACATAAAAAGAAATGGTTTATTAAGAATCAGTAACAACATACAGTAATCCATTGTAGATACCCGGAAATGGCATTCTCAGACCTAAATTTTATTATAATTTTCATTTCTTATAGTTTATATTTTTTTATATTTTGGAAAAAAATTAGGGGGAAAGCCAGGCCGGCTCGCCCAGCCCAACCCCCTTGAATCCGCCACTGGTATCCGTTTCATCGGCTGTACAATTATTAATAACGGCTATATAAAATTCAATTGACTACCAGTAACTAGAATTTTTAATTTTTTTAAATTAGGAGAAACCGGAATCTATATATGCAGATAATATTATTAAACACTAGTATATATGGGTCTTATATATAGGCCTAATAAATCGTTTATAGTAGAAATTGTGCACTTCGGAGTAAAATATTGGCCTTCCAATATTTACACCAACGCCAAATGTACATTGTTTTCACAATAAATTGGGACTGTTTGTTGACGGTTTGTACCCATAAAATCGAAGGAGTGGTTACTGAGATACGAAATGTAACAAACAATTGCGTTTTTTTTCTCTGTTTTGGTACGGAAATATGTACTGCACTGGTAACAGAGCACAAGTGAATAGACAAAATTCAAAAGTCGTAATTTAGATTTGTTTTTTAAAACTATAGACGATTGGTGAAAAGGATGTGTATAAGAGACAGACTGTATTGAGTTAAAAAAAAATATT